GTAGTGAAGGTGACTTTCACATCTTTTTAACGCTCCTACCTAGAAAAAAAACGTGGTCAAAATATACGTGCCTTTCGAAAGCGTTCCAATTCCATCTCAAAAATTTCTTCGTATTAAGGAAAAGTGAGATATTCGAGGATTTCAATTTAAGAAGATAACACCCTGCATAATTAATTTAACTGACTAAATCGATGATTACGTTATCTTTTTAAAAGGAATATACATGGCGAGATACGAGTGTAAAAACTATATTCAATTCTGGAGTTGAAACTGAAGCAGATGATGAGGATAAAAGTGAGATCATATATTATACTTCCAATAAGATTGATTGGAGCAACACAAAGATTGTAAAAGCCACAACTAACACGGTTGATTTTCTCGCTTTAACTGATGATGGCAAAGTAAAGTGTTACGAATATATTATGATGAATACATTAATAATAATTATTATTAACTTTATGAACTTAGATATATTACGTTCATTTTATTCAGGTATATTACACAAACGTTTGGAAACACGGATTTGTTTACGGTATATACCAAATGGATATCAAAGAGAAGATTATATGCATGGGTTGTGGAATTAATTTTTATGTGTTAGTTACCGATAACTGCAAAACGTACACTTGGGGTAGAAATTTATGCGAGGGATTGAGTACTTCTACCAGTTCTAACCAAACCTCAGGCACAAATTCTTTCATAGAAGAGCCACGTGAAATGGCAGAATTTACAGGCAAAACGATTGGTAATTTTCTGCAAAATACATTCCTAAAGATGTAAAGATGTATACATGAAAAATTTATAGCTGCAAGCATTGTACAAGAACCTAATTTATCTGATCTCAATGTTTAGTCAAGGTAGTTTGTGGACCTGATTATACACTCGCTCTAACTGATAAAGGGAAAGTCTATGGCTGGGGTTCAAACACTAGTAGACAATTGAATCTGAATAACGCAGATGACGTTCCGTCTCCTATCATGGTGAATGGTTTGCTTCTATAATTGTATTGTATCAAACAGGAAACAGAAAAGCGTAAAATAAATCAGACAATTTTTCGATCGGCAGGTAAATATAGCTAATGTAAAAAAAGTATCGGACATCGCCGTCATTGATTACAAAAACTTTGTCAAGTCTAGCGAGGATGGACTTGTCTACTGCACATTTGGTTCTTTGATATCATCTAAAAAACCTGTCGTCTGTGAATATACGAACGCGTTTGACATATCCAACTCGCTGATGGGTCAATCGCCAATATCTATGACCCGTCAATTCATAAATGAAGAATTTCACATACTAAATGAATTGGAAACTGCATTCAACGATAAAGTTAGTCTTTATTTTGTGTGTTAATTTGTTTCTCGAATTTAGTATTTCCAATTATGAAGTACCATAAGGATTAAAGTACGATTCATTTTTGAAATTTAGTTTTGAAATTTAGTTTAGAAGATGTTAAAAAAATTTCAAACTTTTGCAACTGATGGCGTGTTAAAAACCGCAAGCAAGCCATTAATTGAAAATGCTTACAATTCGAAATCGATTATAATGACTGTCATAGTTCTATTTTGTCTCCTTCGTAAATTCTTAGCGAGTTTTTCAATAATATCTCTCGTTTCGTGATTTGATATCTTAAATGTCTTTCTTTTTATTACGCTATACATTTTTTCTTTGCGTAACAAAGGGAAAGATTTGGTAATTACATAATACATATGTTCATGTTTAATAATTACTTCTTGTTTTTTGTCTCTAAAGTCAACGAGTGATGTCACGATGGTAGTCGAGAAACAATCAATTTATGTTCACAAGATTATCCTGAAGATTCGTTCTACATATTTTAGAACCATGTTTCAAACTGATTGGATTGAAAACAAGCAAAGGTACATACAAAAAAACATATATTTTAAAAAATCTTTTAGTTTGATTCATTTGTAATATTTCGACATGCTTTTCTTGACAGCATCATCGAGAATCATAATTATAAGTATGTCGTCTATAAAAAATTTTTAGAATATTTATATACCGGTAAGATCAATCTATCATCTTTTGAGAACCTGTTAGGTGAGTTTGAAATAAACGTGCCGCATATCCATTACATCTGCAATTCGCGACTAAAATATCTCTTCCTTGCAGATCTTTTGCGACTGGCAGATGAATTCTGCGAGAAAAATCTCCAGACGGATTGTATACGAAAAATAAAAAAAACAATTAATGTATCGAACGTCATGCGCCTTTTTAAAATTATCAATGAAATGACAGTAGAACATTACAAAAAGGTAACTGTTTTTTTTATCGTGGATTACTTTCTAAGACAAAAGTATTGTAAAATTCGTAATGGAATTGACGTATTAATCCAATGGGATTTGTTTTCCATTCTTCTTTCCAACCTAATAATTGGCTGTAAAAATGTATCTTTGCATTACATGTTTTTAAATTCACTTATATGTATAGCAGAGCTGGGAGTTGCACATTTCGGCCGATTTTCTGTTTGGTTCCTGCTCCTCACTTCAGGCATTTAGGCTGCGCGCTGGTGAAGTGAAGGGCGGGAACCAAGCTAAAAATCGGCTGAAATGTGCAATTAAATCCCAGCTCTGATGTATAGCATCTGTATTCTTTAGGAATTGATGAAATATTGCTTCAACTTCTATTTTAAAAACATGACGAATGTAATCCGGACAGAAAGTTTTGAAGAATTGGATGTCGAAACAAAGTCTATGTTAATAGATAAAGGAAAGAATTTTTTTTTATCAGAAATTGGTAGTTCTGGTTATTTAGAATAATATATTTCTTAGTTTACTGTTGAAAGAGGAGGAGAGTAGAATAGATTTTGTTCTGTGAAAACGATTTATTCCGAGAGAGTAACCCACTCTTGAATTCCGGTGTACAATCTGTCAGAATTTCTATGAAGTCCGGTGAAGTTCGATGAATTCCGGCGAAGTCCGATAAATTTCAATAAAGTCAGATGAATTCCGGTGAAGTCTGATGAAATCAAGCGAAGCCCGATGACATCTTGAAGTCCGAAATCCATGTATATACCTATTTTTTGAGTGGTTACTCCCTGGATTTACTCTCATAGTCGAAACCATTATTGAAAGTATTATTCTATTTATAAAAAAATGATTAAATAATGTAAATAAATAATAAATACAAAAGGAAAAATGTTAATTTAAGATTGTGAATAAATTATTTTAAATATAAAATTATGTTTAAATATTATTTGAATGTTGATATAAATAAAAAATAATTAAACAATAAGTACTGAAAACGGCAAGGTATACAATTGTTGTATGAATTTTAAGAGTCAATAGAATATTCCTTTACGCAAACTCTTAAGAAAATTCTAATGGAAGAGCCACGTCAAGTGGTCGAGCATTCCGTCAAAAATATACCTACTATATAACATATATGCACATATACGTATATATATTATATATGCATATATACAGTATTAACAATACTTGTAATAAATATGTATAATATATACAATACTCGTATTACTGTTTAACTATGTATGTATGTATATATAAATGCATAGCAATGTTGAAGAATTTAATAATCACGAGCGCATCATGTGTGGAATAGTTATTAATTAGGGCTTGCTATTATACACGTTTACACATATTATAATTAGCATATCCGTTTATTAGAAACGTTTTTCGGAATATAATTTATACCTGCAGTTTTAAGTAGGACTCGCTATTATACGTTTAAACGCAAATACATTTACATATACATTTAGCTCATCCATCTATGAAAAACTTAAGTCTTTTCGAACATTTTCACGTTTTATAATAAACGTTTATCCCCTTTTATGGAGTCATCCTAGTGTGATGGGTTTTAAAAGTTCAAAATTTTTTTTAGTGTAAAAAAGATGTTTGGATTGGTAGTAAAAACGGAAAAAATATGTTTATAAAATAACATTAAAACAGTGTATTAGGACAAAACTTTCTAATAACTAATATACTATTTCTACACTGAAAGAAAAGACTGTTGCAGCAAATTTGATGGTAAAATATGGCATAGCGTTTTTAATTGGCTGCAACAGCCAATTTTTGGTTGCTACAGCCAATTTTTGGTTGTTTTAGCCTATCCGCAATGTCAATATATGATTTCGATTGTCTAACGAAACCAAAAATTGGTTGCTGCAGCCAATTAAAAATGCTATGCCATATTTTACCATTTAATTTGCTGCAGCAGCCAATTTTTTTTTCAGTGTACGAATAAATATTTACGTAGGTTTGTGTACAATGGCTTTAAAATGCACTTTAAATTGTTAAACTATAAAAAAATGCAAAGAGAATCAAATTGATTTTTAATTTTATAAAAATAGAACCGTTAAGATATTCAATAAATTTTTAATAGAAGGATGTGCTAAATATACGTGAAAATGTATTCTCGTTTAAATATATAATACCAGCACTTGATTTAAAACACGTATATTCAGAAAGGCGTTTTTAATAAACGGTTATACTAATTATATGTGTTTACTTGTAAGTAGACTTTTTGAAAGTGAATATAAACGAACAAACGTTTCATATTTACACATATCTTCGAAAAATGAAATAAAATCAGAGACCTATCACTAAATTTAATCGGTGACAATGGGAATGTTCTATTTGGCCATTAGAATTACTCACAACTTATGTAGTATTGGTTTAATATTTTAAAGTTGGTACACATCGTGAAAAAAAGCTGATTTCGCATATGTCACATACATTGCAATCGAGATTTATCAAAATACGAAAACCTCTCAATTTATTCGAGGACTCGTATCGATAACTCGATCGGATCACGTTCTAGCATCATGAAAACAAGCCCTAAGTAGATAATATTTATATTGGTCTCATAACACGCAAGCAGACCTACTTACCTACATTGATTTTCAAGGAAAGAGTTTGTTTTTTCCGCTTTCAATCGTCAGCACGCATCACTTGTGGTATAAGATATTATTTAACACATATTCTACATATTGTATTTAGGGTTACTGAGACGTATTAATCATTATCATGTCTAATCTGATAAGATTTTATGAAACCTTAATCAAAATTATACAAGAATGTAAGGAGGAATTACAAAATAAGCACTCAGTTACCTTCAAGCGTTGGTAAGTTTAGAATTTCTCTTTTACTATGTTTTCAAATATACATCGACAAGTAATAATAATGGACCGATAGTATCCAGAATTAAATTCATGTTTAAGACGTTGATATAGCCAGAAGATTATCCAACAGCATTTTACATGTGCCTTTATTATAATATAAATGCAATTAAATAATCTTCTTTATGCATATTTTATGTGACAATGAAAATTTATATGCAAAGACTCACATTCAACAAAATTGCAAAATTCGGAAAATTAAAAAGATACAAGAAGACTTCCGTTTGTTGATTGAAATTCCCAAAAATTTTTGTACTTACTAGATGAACATACATTCGGGCGTTGAAAAGACAGAACGCGAAGATTAAGAGTAAGAAGTACGAGCAACACGAAAAGATTCAAGATTTTATTTTGAAACGTTTAATTGTCCTCGTATAGTATGCATAAAAAAAAATGCGACTCTCACAACTAACACTTCAGTTGTCGGTTTAGTTAAATAAAGTGAGTGGGCGGAGGCAAATTTAATTATAACACAAATATTTTATCCTTCTACCAAATATTTATTCGATATCATTTCCTTCAATTGCAATCACTGCGTTACTGTGTCACACTCAGCAAACATAATAGTGATTAAAAGAGAGTCGCATTTTTTTTTTGGCGCATACTGTAGGTCGAAACTGAGGACTGGATAATTTGCAGACGATAAAAACAACGCAACCCAATTAACGTTTGTCGCGCGACAAAAAAGTGATGTGGTAATCAATTAGTTAAATTTACGTCTTTATAGGTGAAGAGTATATGATTTCTTGAGAAATTCGCCTTTCTTCTATTTTCTTTTAATTTTATAATAGCAAGAAGAAACAATTTTTTATCTTTCTAAAACAACACAGGATCGCGATATTTAGATCAATATTTATTATGAAAAGTGTATCATTCGGCTTGATCTTACGGCCACGGTATAAAAAGGAAACACGAGCAATAAAACTTACCCAAAAACCGAATCAACATTGGAACATTTCAAAAACACAGAAGTGTTTAAAAAATCTTTGGTCTCTGTTTGCTAACTTCTTACAATTCTTACGTCCTTCCGTATGCTATAGCCATTGTTCTTTTCAAATTTATTTTAACTCGATTTGCAACTTTTCAGCTAAATCGAAACTCCGGCAATTATCACTTATTATTGCTCTTCACGAAACAAAATCCATTAATTAGTTTCCTAATTAATCATTTATTTATATTTACGGCAATATATGTCTAATAATAATTATAATTATTTTTTTTCAAGGCTTGCACAGGAATCATGTATCGACTATAAGAATGATATTGGCTATATAGATAAAGAACACCATATGATAGAAGTGGATATTATGTTCAAAAAAACAATAAGGTTATTGATGGCCAATATTTCAAATGAGATATTTTTGTTTACTCAAGACGGAGAGGTATATGAACAATTTATATATCATAATATAAAAATTGACATTTCATATTAAATTACCATAATGAATATTTGCTGAATTTTTTTGACATTTTGAAATTATATTATAGAGTAGAGTGTAATGTATTCAGAGTGTAAAAGAAGATTATAATTTTTATCTTTTAACAAATAAAATGTATAGAAATAAAAAAAACGAATTACCTTATATATAAGGTAAATTATGCCTTCATAAAAGTGCCTCTATTAGGAAAAATAGTAATAATTATGATATGTGTCACTAACTGTGTACACATTCTTTATAAAATCTAATAATCCCATAAAGGAGAAATGAGTATATTTAATATATTTACAACGTTAACGTAAATGTTAACATACCAAATACATTTAATGTGTTAATTTTTTATGTTTGCTGCATCATGTTGTTTTTTATTATGTGCATGTAATAAATGCATAATGTTTTACAATATAAAGTTATAAGAGATTAAAATTTTTTACACTTAACATATTGAATAAGCTCATTGAATTGACAACAATTTTGTGACTTTATTAAATGTACGCTCAAATCTCTATTAATTTTTGGGTTACTTCTATATTACATTATTTCACTTTATCATATAAATACCACGTAATTAAATCCATTGAATCTAACCCATATGCAAAGTGGTTCCATGAAATTGAAAATTTTGAATATTTCAATTGTTTTGGATGAAACAAAAAGATGTTTCTGATGAAAGTGAAATACTTGCGAGAAGAACGTAAGTTTTGATCACGTTATTTTTTTTGAGATGGAGACATCATAATGATATAAAGAAATTAATTTCTTTAAATGAAATTATGGTTTTTTAAATATAATATGATTCCATGATTATTCTACGAATATAAGTAATAAAACAGAGATGTCAAAGTCAGATATTTTATACTTGATTCCAACACAAATTAACATGAAATATTAAATATCTCGTAAAATATCTATTAATTTTATGATAATCGCACCTAAATATTTTTATAAACAGAATAATGAAGTGAATCAATTTGTGTAAAGGAAACCCATAATTGCTTAAAAAAATATGTAGGCAAAACGGATAATAATTTTTGAAATAAGCATATGTTTTCTATACTCAAAATGATCCCACACATTATTCCGTTCATACAAGTTTTATATGCAGAATAATTAAAGGAATCGTATTGTGCAAAAAATCATTATTCCATTTACAGAAATGGTGGCGACCTTCGTACCTTTTTAACTCTTCCAGCTAGAAAAAAAATGTGTTCAAAATACGTGCCTCTCAAAACCGTGCCTCCAAGTTCACCTGAAAAATTTCTTCATAGTATTAAAAATAAGTGAAATATTCAAGGTTTCCAATTTAAGAAGATATACTGTATAATTAATTTAACTGAATAAATCGATGATTACGTTATCTTTTTACAAGAAATATGTATGGTATGATACGACTGCAATTACATTCAATATTGAATTTGACGATGAGATTGAAGATACTCTGCCCGAAACTGACCATGAGAATTCGATCGTAGCAGATCCTAGAGAGATCTCACATTGTATACATTATACTTCCCATAAGATAGATTGGAGCAACACAAGGATTGTAAAAGCCACAACTAACGAGTTTAATTTTCTCGCTTTAACTGATGATGGCAAAGTAAAGTGTTACGACGATATTATCCTAAACATATTAATAATTATTATTATTAATTTTACTTATTTTACATACATATATTACGTTTATTTAATTTAGCTGTATTACAAAAAAGTCACGGGCTACATAAAGAAAATTAGGGATATATATCGAATAGATATCAAAGAGAAGGTTTCATGCATGGGTTGCGGAAACAATTTTTGTGTAATAGTTACCGATAACTGCAAAACGTACAGTTGGGGTATAAATATGTCCGGGGAATTGGGTTTGGGTATTCCAACTTTAGACGAAGTGAGTTACGTAGTAAAGCCATGTGAAATAGTCGAATTTTCAGGCAAAACGATTGGTAATTCTCTTCAAAACATTCCTAAAGATGTATATATAAAGAATTTATAGCTGCAAGAATTTAAAAATAATCTAATCTATTTAATTTTAATGTTTAGTCAAGATAGTCTGTGGAATAGAACATACACTTGCACTAACTGATACAGGGAAAGTCTATGGTTGGGGTTCAAATGTTGTACAATTGAATCCGGATAACATAGATAGCGTCTCGTCTCCTATCATGGTGAATGATTTGCTTCTGTAATTGTATTATGACAAACAGGAAACAGAAAGGCATAAAATAAACAGATAATTTTTCGGCAGATTAATATAGCTAATGTAAAGAAAATATCGGACATCGCCGTAATTGATTACAAAAGCTTTGTCAAGTCTAGCAAGGACGGACTTGTCTATATATGGGGTCATATTGCTTACATCCGACCTAAAAAACCTGCCGTCTGTGAATATACGAACGTATTTGACATATCCAACTCCATGATGGGTCAATCGCCAATATCCGTCACCAATGAATTCGTGAATGAAGAATTTCGCATATTAAATGATTTGGAAGCTGCGTTCAACGATCAGGTTAGTCTTTACTCTGTGTGTTTATTTGTTTCTCGAATTCAGTATTTCCAGTGTAGTACCGTAAGGATTGCAGTATGATTTATTTTTACAATTTAGTGAATTTGAATTCTTAAAAAATGACAAAAAGGTTTCGAACTCTTGCAACTGATGACGTGTTAAAAACGCAAGCAAGCCATTAGTTGAAAATGCTTACAATCCGAAATCGATTATACTGACTGTCGCATAGATCCATTTTGTCTCTTTGGTAAAGTTTTAGTGTATTTTTCAATAATATTTCTCGTTTCGTAATTTGGTATCTTAAATGACTTTCTTTTTATTACACTATACATTTTTTCATTGCGCGACAAAAGGAAAGATTTGGTGATTACATAATACATATGTTCATGATTAATAATTCTTTCGTGTTTTCTGTCTCTAAAGTCAACGAGTGATCTCACGATAATAGTCGAGAAACAACCAATTTATGTTCACAAGGCTATTCTGAAGATTCGTTCTACATATTTTAGAAACATGTTCCTAACTAATTATATTGAAAATAGACAAAGGTACGTTTTTATAAAAGAAAATGTATATTTAAAAAAAAATCTTTTTTGTTTGATTCATTTGTAATATTTCGACACGTTTTTCTTGACAGCATCATCGAGAATCATCATCATAAGTATGTCATTTATAAAACATTTTTAGAATATTTATATACCGGTAGGATCAATCTATCATCCTTTGAGAACCTGTTAGGTTAGTTTGAAATAAACGTGCCGCATATCCATTACATCTGCAATTCGCGACTAAAATATCTCTTCCTTGCAGATCTTTTGCGACTGGCAGATGAATTCTGCGAGAAAAATCTCCAGACGGATTGTATACGAAAAATAAAAAAAACAATTAATGTATCGAATGTCATATACGTTTTTAAAATTATCAACGAAATGACAGTAGAACATCACAAAAAGGTAACTGAGTATTACATTTTTTGTTTTCTGTTGTGGATTTCCTTCTTTTCTAAGACAAAGGTATTGCCGAATTCATAATGGGATTAACGTATTGATCCAATTGGCATTTGTTTTCTATTCTTCTTTCTATCCTAATAAAATATATTCTTTCCTTTATAATTCCTGGACGCGAATCTTTTATTTCACAGATAAATGTATTCCTCTAAAACTATCCAGCTACCAATATCACTTTTAGACAGAATTCATTAACTGTAAATATGTATCTTTGCATTACATGTTTTAAAATTCACTTATATGTATAGCATCTATATTCTTTAGGAATTGATGAAATATTGCTTCACCTTCTGTTTTAAAAACATGACGAATGTAACCCAGTCAGAAAGTTTTGAAGAATTGGATATCGAAACAAAGTCTATGTTAATAGATAAAAGGAAAAATTTTTTTTTATCAAAAATTAGTAATTCTGGTTATTTAGAATAATACTTAATTTACTGTTTAATACTTCTTAGTTTACTGTTTAAAGGGGAGAAGAATATAATAGATTTTGTTCTGTGAAAACGGTTTACTCTTACAATCGAAAGCGTTATTGCATGTATTGTTCGATTTATAAAGGACTGATTAAATATTTGTAAATAGATAAGAAATACAAAAGGAAAGAAATTGATTTAAGGTTGCAAATAAATTATTTTAAATAAATTATGTTTAAATGTCGTTGAATGTTGATGTAAATGAAAAATAAATAATGAATAATGATTACTGAAAATGGCAAAGTATACAATTGTTGAATGAATTTTATGAATTTTATGAATTCTATGAATTTTAAGAGGCAATTGAGTATTCCTTCACGCAAACTCGTATGAAAATTCTGGTCGGAGAGCCATGTGATAGAATATTCTGTCAAAAATATTCTACACACACACAAACACGCACGTACGCACGCATGCACGCACACAGTGAGCAAAAAGTATTCGTATAAAGAAAATATTAAAAAAAAAACAATATTTTTAAAAAGTAAATATTATCCAATGAGAAATGAATCATCGATTTGATGTGGAATCGATATCGATACAATGATTTTAACACCAATTTGATGTCGATTTGTCATTTGATTGACCATCATTTCTCACTGGGTAATTAATAATTTATTTATAGAGAATATAATAGACTGTATGTTTGTTAAAATTATATCTACCAAGTAGATATGTATTATAAAAATATATCATCTGAAAAATAAGCGAAAATTAAAAATTGTATAGTTTAGATACTCAAAAAGTATTCGTACAGTCGAGAAATTTAGATTCTAAAATCAGGAATACATGCGAAACTCGTTTGTTTATGTTAGAACAGAATATATTCATTGTATGAAATTGCTAATTAATGTTTATTTTTTACAAATAAGACTTTTTTATAAAAAATTTCCTTGTACAAATACTTTTTACACTCACAATATATGCAGGGAATGGAAGTAAAGTTATTTGTGACGAAGTTATAGTTATTTCTTTGGTACCTCTACTGGTAACTGCGTTACTTTTTTTTCGTAACTGTAATGGTAATATAATTACATTTTTTTTTTATAACGGTAGTAATTTTTATAGTTAATTTTATCATTACTTTGCACACGATTGGACACAGTTCGATTGGATACCAGTTACTCGTAGCCCTTGAGACTAAAAAGCTCAAAAGCATCCGTCCGTTCTGAATAGTGGTCATTGATTTTAAAAAAGATACTTTCTCAGGTAACTGTAACGAGTGACTTTTAAAAAGTAACTTTCCATTTCTCGTATATATGCATACATATATATATATAATAATAATATTAACAATATTTGTAATATACAGAATGCCTGGTAAGTTTTTATAAAGCGTTCGTGTGTAAATAGAGCGGACTAAACTGAATCGAAAAGTCCTGTACCATTTTGCAATTTTTGTAATAGTTAACAAGATATTAATTACTAAATATTGCTGAATATATTGGTCTTCAATAATTTTTTTCTCGAATATTATCAACTTTACAGAAAAACTGCAAGAGCCAAAAATTGTTTATTTTCTTTTCATAGAACTATAAGAATTTTTTATCAACTTTTTAGTACTGTATTCTCTTATTGACAATTATTTTTACCAACATGAGGAAATACGGTATCAAAAAAATTCCGATAAAATTCTAAAAAAGTTCTTAGAACTTTATGAGAAGAAAATAAACAACTTTTGTCTCTAACTGTTTTTCTGTAATGTTGATAGTATTTGAGAGCAAACAATTATTGAAGATCAATATTCAGCAATCTTTAGTAATTTTGTATTTACTTAACTCTAATAATATGTCATTCGTATAAAAGATTTGATATCAACAATTGGCGCCAAGTTAAATTCCATGTATAATTCAGATAAATTAAATAAATAATATTAACTTTAATGATATGTATGTATCATTCGCATAAAAGATTTGATATCAATAACTGGCTCCAAGTTAAATTCCATACCAAATTAAGTAAAGAATACAATCTGTAATTGCGTTACCATTTGTCCATTCAAATGTTACCATAAAAAGTTAAAGTAAACACTTGGCGCTACATACATATATACCCTGTATATATACATATACAGGGTGTCCCATTTTAAATAATACAGTAAGATTTCTCGAAAACTAGATACGGAAAAATATTTCAAACAAAAGTTGTATGGTTCGAAGGGAAACATAAGAAAGTACTATTGATTTGACCTTGGGTGGCGTCGTTAAGGTCAGGTCAAGGTCACATCGATTTTTTTAAATGGAACATCATATTTTTGATTCCAGAATCAAATCTAATAGCTGATAGCAAGAGCTTTTCAAAACACTATAATGAAGTTCATTTTCATTCCGAGTTATGAGACTCGAAAGTTACAATCTTCAGCATTAGCATCGAAACCATAAATTTATTAACGTGAGTCCCTTTTTGCCTCTCACGTCGGGGTGCTTTATCATGCTATTAGTGTTATAGTACACACTATGTACATAAAAAATGAACTAAAAATAAACGTATTAAGAATTTAATAAATGCTCAAAAACGTTTCCCTGAACATTAATGCAACGTTATAGCCGAAAAACGTAATGCTGAATCGAACTCAGTAACAAATTTCTAGTAACTTTTTGACGTACTTGTGATATTCGTTCTTTCATGTCATTTTTCATTGTCGGCGCTCGTGCAAAAACAATGTCTTTTAATAAACCCCAGAAAAAAAATCAAGTGGAGATAGGTCGAGGAACGTGGTGGCCATGCTACAGGTCCATCACATCCAATCCATTTCTGAGGGAATCTTTGATGCAAAAAGCGACGCACTCTTCAATGGTAATGCGGTAGTGCACTATCATATTGGAACCAAGCATTTAATCTTGTATGAAGATCGACGTTCTCAAGGTAATGCGGCAAATTATTTCGCAAAAACTGCAAATACTTCTGCCCATTTAGAGTACCGTTAAAAAAATAGGGTCCTACAAGATATCCGTTAAGATCCCACACCAGACATTTAAGCTCCATCGATGTTGATGTGCAACCTGCCGAAAGCATTGTGGGTTTTCTTCCGACCAATAGTGGCAATTATGTCTGTTTAGCTGTCCAATATTGTGAAATGTTGCTTCATCACTAAACAAGACATATCTAAAGAAATTTGGATCGTCTCGCAACATTTCTTGCGACCACCTACAAAATTCGACCCAACGTATCATGTCATTATTAGACAATGCCTGTGTGAGAGTCACATGGTAAGGGTGACTTTAAAGATCGTAGTAATCTGGCAGCTGTATTTCTTGGAATACCTAACTCGCTCTCTATTTGTCGAGTGCTCACATGTGGGTTCATAGCAACCATCCCTAATACAGCAATGATACGCACATCTTCAATATTATTACGATTTCTGAGTTGTCTATTTCGTTTCCGAATTCTGCGTCGTTCTTCACGACGCTCTGTTATACGAATCGTACTATCATTTGGGTGATGCCTTCTTCTGGGAAACCTCTGATGATACAAAGCTGCACTTCTGTGATAGTTACCTCTGCACTCACCAAGCACTAGAAATATGTTGACAATCTCATAGAATTGTAATCAGGCTGTATCTGTACTAATCGGATGGACCAACAGTATGGACTTGCATGGAATTTTCCAAAAAAATCTGCGGCGAAATCTAATGCAGAGCGCGCGTGGCAGACGACAGTAAACAAAGATCCGACAATGGTACGAAACCAGAGACCTAGCTCCAACGATCGTTATCGGAATGTTTATCTCGCGTTTTTACCGATGAGATAAAGGCAACTATCCTTGTAATGCTTGGGTATCACGCACGTTCTAGAACACGTGCGAGAAAAAAAGAACAAACAAGATCGTACATACTCATTCTCGTGGAATCCGTTGACAGGAAGTAATCGGCATGAATAATTTTGCGTACTGGTGGTACGCAAGTTTTGAGACATCCTGTATATTTATATTAATATATAATTTCATAATGGGTATTTGGCCTTGTTTCATACTTCAATTAACAAATTTTTGTCTTCCTTGCAATAATTTCAAAACTATAAACAATCAAATTGTTTGAAATTAATAAAAATATACTGAATCATTAACGATTTTTGTAACGGAATCAACAGTCAGTCTATTTTTCTCTTCAATCCAATAAGCGTTTATGAGGCTGATGCTTTCCAAATTATCTGGTTATGGTTTGGGATTGCAAAAATGAAAGAAAATGTTTTAAAATTTTGAAGCTCAAATGTTTATTCACATTTTTAAAGTAATCTGTCTATTTGTTTGATAATGTTTTCTTTGACAAGTCCGTATTTGCGCCCATGCATTCCAAAAATATATTTAACTCATAGATGTTTGATCGAAAAAAAAACATCATCAATTTTTACATTCTTTGTTTTTAAATATAAAAAAGGTTTTTTAATTTTATCTCGAATTGGTCTATCTTTTAAAAAAGAATACATCCACTTCAATAAGTGAGAAGTAAGAGTGCACTCTCTCTCTCTCTTTCTCTCTGTCTCATATAATCTCAACAAAAATACATATACTTTTGAAACAGTACAAATGATAGTCCTATTTACGATAGAGAGAATAATTAGTAGGTGAAAATATGTAAATAATTGTGATTAAAAAATGCAGTATATCGAGAAAAGAAAGTGATATAACTTTTTTTTACGTAAGTACCTGTTTTATCCAAAATTAATTAACTTTAAAGATAATTGCAAACATGTTATTCTTTAATTTATTTTTATATGTTTAACAATATGTTACAATAAACTGTATTATTCTCTATTGATATTGTATGCAAAATAATACCATATTATTTTTTTATATTTCCTTCGATTTTCCTTCTAATTCCTTGCAGTATTGCAGGGCTGGATATTTTTACATTTAAAATGCCAATTAAAATTCTATTTAATATTTATTCTATTTAAAATGCTAAATATAAAATACTTAAAAAAATGTATATTAAAATATATGTAAGGAAAACCA